GGAGCCAGAGCCGGGAGCTGCTGCCCATCCTCCTCCTCCTCCTCCTCCTCCTCCCCTTTCACCTTTGAGACTCCGCGCTTTGCACTGGCACACGTTGGGTTCTGCTGCCTCCGCTGCCAGAGGGTCACCTTTGGCAGAGGAGCAGGGACAGTTTTGCTTTAAACTGGTGTGCCGAGGTTTTCCAAGGCTGGGTGGTTGGTGGGAGGAGGATCGGGAAGGAAACGTGACTGTGTACCCTGGGCTCTGACTGCCTCCACCTGCGGAGAAAATCAGTTTGTTTTCATAGGAGTGTTGCCTGCAGACTTTGAGCCCCTCTTTTTGCTAACTCTTCACTGTGGCTAATACCCATTTATAAAAATAAAAGGTGTAAATTTAACACTTCAAAACCTAACTGATATCCAGTATTCTACCCTTAAAAGCTTTTCACGATCAAGATTAGAATCATCAGTCCATCTTGATGGTTTTAATATGTGGTCGAGAAGTTACCCGTCTTACGCTGGCATCAAGTCACGTCATTCCCCATAATCTTTCTCTTGGTTTTTTTTGTAGCCTTGTTGTTCATAATTTCCTTTCCAAGTGTTTCTTTATTTGAAATGCCATTTATATTTTGTTGCCTTTTTTTTTCCAGCACATCTTACATCTTTGTTTTTTTGTTTTGTTTTTAATCTTATTTCTGGCGTTTTCCATCGCTCTGTGGCCATGATTGTGGATGTGTTTTGGTTTTTGCCTGCCTTGCTGTTCTCTCGCTGCACTCCCTAGATCCCTGTTGCACAGTCCTCTGTCATGGATGACATTGAGGAGTGGCTCAGTACCGACTTGGTGAGACTCTTTATATTTTCATTTTTCACATGGGCAATAGCACTTGTACAGATAACTTGCAATGCATCGCTGAGTTACTGGTACTTCTCGTAACGGGAGGCAGTGAAACTTCCAAATCATGTATTTCCCTTTGAAGGGAATATCTGAGCAGGAGGAGAGAGGGTTGTGTTCAGCAATTCAATCAAAACGTGTTTTTCTGAGTTGTTTTATTTTCACTTCTCCATGCTACCGTCACAGAATAGCATGCGTTCCAGAAATCGCCTGTTTCTGGACCCCGTGTGGGAAAGCATTTAAACATGTGCTGAAGTTTCCCCTGGGTTCTCCACCGGACTTAAAGCACATGTTTGAGGCTGCATTAGCTTTTCAGGATCTTAAGTACATGCTTATGTTGAGGCATGCTTTTAAGAGGATGCTGGATCGGGGCTCAGATTCCTTTCAAATCAAGATGTCTTTGTTAAATTGACAAGCAATCTTGATAATGTTTCTTAAGGGCGGTAACAGAAATTTATAACAGTCTCTCTTCGATGTTTATTACTTTCAGTTTCTCCTAAATGATTGTTGTCTGGTAATTATTAAACAAACAAACGAAAGACAGAACTAAAAGTAGCTTTTCCTTAGTTCTGGAGTTTGTTTTGCTGTACCAATACACCTTTGGTTTAAGCAGTGGTACAGCTAGTACGCATTTATTCTGGTCTTTTTCTTTTTTCTTTTTTAATGTAAGCATCTGACTCGAATGAACCAAGTGCATTTTGGGGACGGGTGGTGGGTTGCCTTTCAGACTGTTCTTCTAAACATGGTTTAGTGAACTGAACTGTTTCCTTGTGGTCACCATATCCCTAAGGATCGTCTCCTTCGCTTCTTCCAACTGCAGATACTGTCCCTAGAGAACTCCCTACTCCTTAAAGTCTCCCCCAGCCTCTTGCTCTTGCCTGCTCAGCTCCTCGTGGGCAGCTGCGGGGTTCGGGCTCCGCTCCCCGGCTCCGCCAGCGGTGCTGCAGGCGCGCTCCGGCGCGTCAGCCCTCCGCTCCGGCACGAGAGGAGCTGACTGTACTGAAAGGAAGAAAACGCTCCTGCTCTCCGAAGCCGCCTGAAGTGCTTAAACAGATTCTGGGTTTCAGCGTTCAAGTTTGGCAGACTGACTGGCTGTCTTTGAAATGTCACTGGGTTTCAGCTGCAGGTAGTTTTTTCAGGCCTCGGTACAGGCAGTCGTTTTCAAATTTAATTACAAACTGGCCTCATTTTGTTAAAGAAATACAGTAAATGTCCCGTGTCCACTCTGCTTCAGCAATACACTTTTGTCTTTGCCATTTAAATTAATTTAGCAGGAGAGAAGGTCTTATGGAGAGATCTCGAGGTGGCTCTGTGTATCTGTCATCCCTAGAGAGTCTTGCTCAGAAAGAGCAAAGCAGAGAAGTGCCGTGTAAATGCCTGCACAAGCCTGGGGGTCGCACGCGCTGCGGCCGTGACGGTACCGCCTTCACTTCTCCCGGGTCCCCATCCTGGCCATATGTGAGTGCAGCACAGAGATGTCCTCTGAGAAAGTTTGGACTGGATTTTTGGTTTTCCCTCTGGGTTCCCCCCCTCCTTTGTTTTTGTTAATGGTTCATTTCGGTTCTCTGCTAGATTAGGGTTGCTAATCGTTATTTATTTCCTTACCCTTTTTGGGGTACGTTGGACCAAACAGTGCCTCTGCATGTGAAGCAGTGGCTGCTGTGTGTACCTCTGGAAACCTCTGTGCAGTAGAAAGCTGGTAGGTGCTAGGTGGCTTTAATGCTTAGGCATTAAAAACCTTTGTGAGGCCAGTCGGTATGTTCCCACTCTCCTGGACAAACACTTCTCTTTTTCAAAGCGGGTTCAACGTGAGGTTTTCAAGTAGTATTTTCATCCTTCTTTAACATCCTGGTAGACTGACAAGGATGCCCCATCCTCGGACTTTTAATTTCTTTATTAAAGCACTGTTGGGAATTCCTGTGTGGAAATGCACACAGCTGGTAGAAAGGCCCTGACCCCCTGGCATCCCAGCCTTTGTACCTCACGGGCTAACTGCCCGTCAGCATCCTTCATCCAGCCCTGGTCTTATCTTTGTCCAGCGTGGAGGCTAGGAAAGCTGCTCTGTTTTCGTATGAAATCTAAGATGAACTCCCACAGGAGGAACGTTGGCCCCAAACTGTTTTGCGGTACGTGTCCTTTGTCAGCTAAAAGTGCGGGTTTTTTTGAAGACACAACGCAAACCGCCATCCTGACTTTTTAAAGGACCGTGTGACAGAAAAGATGGCATCTTGCACAGTGTCTGTGCCTCACACAGCTCAGTTTTTGGCCAGGCCTGCTGTCCAAAATTGGAAACAGCACTGGACAGCCGTTCAGGTCCAACGGGGAAAGTGTAGCTCTCCACCAGCCATCTCCAGCCGCACCTCTCGCGCTCCTCCTCTTGCAGCGAAATGTCAGTCGCTGTTGGCCTCCTGACGTGGGAGCCGTGCGATCTTCCCAGGTCACCCCGCTCAAGCAGTTGGCATGTGGAAACCAGGGGTGGAAACTGTCCAGTTGCATTAACCGTGGGTAGGGGACAGTCGTGACGGTGAAGCGCTGCCTGTGTGTTCACGTGCCTTTTTGTTCCAATTGCAGAAAGGAGACGACCTGGAAGAAGGAGTGACCAGTGAAGGTAAGCAGAGCTGCCTGTGGCTACGAGCCGTTCTCAGGCTGAATTATCTGCTTGGATCCCTGCCGAGATGCTGACTTCTCCCAGCCTGACGTTCCCCAGCAAATGCTTCCGCGCTCGGAGAGGCGGGAGGAGGGCATTTCAGAGCAAAAAGTTCGCCTTTATGGTGTGAGGAGCCCTCCCGGCTGTAGGTCCTTTCCTGCCATCCTCCTCGGCGGGGCACTGCGTTTGTGCCAGCATGAATGCGTCCCCAAGCTGCTCAGCCCTTTGGAATGATGTTTCCCTGCTTCCTTCGCAGCTGGTGGCACAGCAGAGGTTTGATTCCCTCCGCTGCCGGAGCTAGGGTGTCTCAAAGGATGTCTGTACCCTTTCCTGAGGAGGTCGGGCTGGACCAGTGTGTGTGCCTGTGAGCACAGCCCGACGGGACCTGGCGTTTCAGACCCTCCTCACCTCCGTCCCCAGCGGCTCGACGCGCAGCCCTGGTTCTGACCTGTCTTCCTCCTTTTTCTTTTTTTTTTTT